CATTACTAATGAGCTATAACCATTTACAAAGTTTGTGGATCCTTAACAAATTTGGGTTTGGTTGACCCTAGAAACTACAAGAATAATAGTGAAAACAAAAAAGAGCTGAAAATAGCTTAATAAGGAAAAATAGATAAATTTACTAGAGTGGAGCATGATCTTACTCCATTGGTTTGTATTATCATATTATACTTTTTAATTTTTTTTTGTCCTTCATCTTTTACAAACCTTGGAGAGGTCAGTAATGAGTATATTGTTGTTTTGAGCAGTCATTATATTGTTGGTGTCATAGAAATTATATCAATATACATAAGAGTGGACATAAAACTTTATCTTGAAAGAAAGATGGATTCATATTTAGCAATGCTTGATTAGGAGTTTAGAGTAGTTCTTAAATATTTATCCACCATTTGCTTCCACATCAATTGCCATAACTAACTCTATTAAAACTGGGTATGAAATAAAGATGGTGCAAAATTAGAGATGAATACAAAGGTCACCTCATATATCTTGAAGTTGGTTGCAAAAGTTTATTAGTGTGGTGTAGACGAAGGTGAAAGAGTCTAAACCATCAAATAAATTTAAACAAACATAATTCAACATAGTGCATGGATGTTAAATTGTTCTAGCAAGTTTGAGGTTCTTCACTTTCCCCTAGTTACATTTCATTTATTTATCCATGAATATGTTGAAGAGTACCATCCTCATGAATAAGCTAGGATGTTTGATCACCTGTAAGAACATGAATCAAATCTTCTACCACAACCCAAAAACCAACACAAGTACCCAGTTAAGGATTGAGAGCTTGGAGAAATAATAGTTTTTTTCTAAAATCTTCTTGGTGGAAGATGAGATTGCTTTGAAAATTCATAAAGTGGAATGCCTTTTTAAAATTATTCTGCAAGTAGTTTCCCATAACATTGAGCAGTGGCTACTTCATGTCACAAGATAGTTTTATTAAAAAATCAAGGCAATAAGATTTATTTATGACTTAGTAGAGTTTCTTATAATAATAGCAAGCATGGCAACACTAATATGACACCATTC